TCTGTCAAAATTGTGCTCACAAATAGAAAAAAAAAAGGCCAAATGATGGCTTGTATCTCAAAAGTCTGGCCACTCTTATCTCAAGAGATTACAAAATATATTTTTTTAACTTTTTTTTGTTTTTAACTTCACTGTTTTACACACTTGCTATCTATAATTGAATGGCATCTATGATATCTAATCCATTTTAAATGACTCGTACCTGATTCAATGTCGGCTTTTTGCCGACGTAAATTGATCTCAGTTGGCATTTTTACTCGAAACTGAACCAATGGAGAGATTCGTTGAAGCGTGTTATGCACGTTATGCTCCATAGTCGTGCTTATTCATTTGAACAACTTCTTCACCGACAGTGCTTCGCGCCACATTTTATCCCGCTGTACCTGCACCTTCTGGCCATGACTCAACCTGTTCATAATTGCCTCATATTGTTAGTTTGACCTTTTAGGTCTTTCACGGGTTTTTATTGTGTTGCCGCAACTTCGCCACATTTCTCCCACGAACATCACAAACCACCTCTTGGCTTGTGTCTACAAACAAACTGGATGGCTGACTTACTGAGCAGCGTAGGAATTATCGGATGCCGCCGATTTATGGAATATAATGCATATTTCAGTCAGGAAGGAGCCTTGTTGGATTTGAGTATGCCACAGCCGCACATGCCGAATTTATTCATGCGCTTCCCACCGGCGCTTTTGATAACTTGGCACAATCATTGCTACGTTATCGCCCGCAGGTCGGAATTCCCAGCTGCCGCCTGTTGGACTGCGGGTGATGTTTGACAATGAACAACTGCGCGCCGCCTGTAGCATCTCAGCTTAAACACACGCTCTGGCTCACCCGATGGGATTTCACTTTTGAAAACTGGTACACATCGTGCTGTTATATCATCACAGGCAGCGCTTGGCCGAGCGGCATTGCTTTTATTACAATAAAAAAAAAAAAAAAAAAAAGAGGGGAAAAAAGTGTGATGTACAGAGAGTAGCAAAAAAATACAAAATGCTTTACTTGCTGTATACGGAGCCATCAGTGTGCTTCTCAAAACATGAAATTAAAAACCCTCGGTGTGTGTGTGTGTGTGTGTGAAATTTTAGAGGAATTAAATATGTTAAAATAATTACATCTATGTGCTAATAACGGTACTCTGTATATCGATTTAATTTTTTTTTGTAATCACCCAAAATTTACTCAAGCCACCCAAGTCAGCTTGTCTGCTTTGACAAAACAAAATCAATACACGCCTGAATATTTTGTAAGATTGCTAAGCTGATTAAACATTCTGCCTTTAAATGGTCTCGATAGTTTTTTGCAGATGTGAAGCACACAGTGGGTTGAAGAGGGGTGGTCTGATGAGGTCATCCACCTTGGCTGGTTGCAAGTCTGGTCTAATGTGCCAGATTTAGAATTTATGGTCTGTGTTTTTGCTGTACAGCAGTTTTGATTGTCCACAGCAGTTTTTATTTTATTTTTTTTAATTTACCATTTGTTTACATTGCAGACACATTGGTTGTTTCATATCCGGTTGTATCCAGAATGTATTTGGAAAATGATTCACATCTGAGGAGATCTGTTTGTAAATGATTAGCTCGTATCCAAGCAGGGCCACTCGGGAGCAAAAAAAGCCCCACTTGTCTTACATGAACCGCGGAGTAGTGTAAATCCAGGCAAGGAGTTATCTGTGGCCAGAGTGCTTTCATACTCGGCCTTTTAGTCTCATGCGTCCATAAAAACACTCACAGCATGGGAAAATGACTTTTTAGAAAGGGAGAAAAGACAAACAAGGAGTTTTGGTGGTAGTGGCCCAAATGGCCTCCAATGGTAGCAAATCCAGTGAAACCTCCAAGGTCCAATGCAACCCAATTTGTTCATGCTGCATTCCCAAAATGGTTGTCCCTCAAAAAGATGCAATACTGAGACCACAGAATGTACCGCTTTTGCCGCAATGCTACTGCTACTATGGACTAAGTTCCATTTCCTGCTCTATGGCTATCATCACACTTTTTACTCCTGTGTGTGTTGGCAGAATTAAATCTTTTCTCATGCCCACTTAAAAGGTACACCAACACCTATTTGAAGGTGCCCAAACATATGACACCTGCACATCCTTTTTCTCCGTATTGAAAGGCAAACTACAGGAAAATTCACATGACATCCAACATGTGAATCTATTTCTAGCTCTTACCCCTTGCAGCTATGTTCTCACTTATCATATGGCTTGGACACATGGCTGCTTTAAAAACTAATGATGGCGTGAAGGCTGTTGAAGGTGAAGCCCACTCCCACTCAGCTTAACATCTTGGGAGATCCACCCGTTAATGCTGAGTTTTAAATAGCACCTCATTGGCATTAAGTGCATCAACATTGTGAGTGGGACAGAGGGGAAGTTGGCAGAATGGAATGGGGTGTGTGCGCGCGTGTGTGTGTCGCATTCTCATGTCAGCTCCATATTGATTTGTGATGGGGCATTCTGTTTTGTTTTTATTTATTTATTTATTTAGTTTATGAAATGTTCATATTTGATGCACTTTAGATGTGGAGATGCTACCACACATGCATCTAATAACTACAACACATGCACATTGCCCGGTGACCAGATGCTTGGACATTTTATATGGCAAAATAAGAAGCCTGTTTTTTGCAATTATTTCCAGTTGCCTGGGTTTTCAGGCCGATCAACTCTGTCGTCATAGTGACACCTGCTGGCTGAAACCTGTAGCTTCAACATTCCCATTAAAACCCAAGTCATTTTGCTCCCTCGCTTTTTGACTTAAATATGATTTTTAATGGGAATCATGCAGACGGGGATCAACAAATCAGCTACAGCCTTCTTGTTAAATGGAATTTGAGTTGTCTCCTCCCTATATGCCAGTGTAAATTCAGCTTCCTGATGGGCAGGACACAGCAGGTGTGTGCGTGATGTTGAGTCTGTTCTATACACCAGTCATTGAATCAATCCAATGTTCCTCCATCACAGTCTGTTTTGGCTCTGCCAAGCAAAAAGGACAAAATCAGACTGCAACAGACAGGAGTGCTCATAAAAAAAAAAAAAAAATCATCTGTACCCACTCATGAGGACCTTGATGCTGCAACACAAGGGCAGGCAAAATCCTCTGACCAGCCACATCCGGATCACGACCTCATTCAGCCTTTTTTTTAGTAGCCAATAAAGATGATTCTGAATCCGACATTATTTTCTTACGAGCTCCACTTTTGAGTAAAGTGGGTAACGCACACACAGTCAAGCCATTTTTTAAGCATTTTCTCTCCCTTCCACTTAATATAATCAGCAAAGGCCCAATTATCAGATGTCTCACAAATATCTTGAGCACTTATTCGGTGGTGTTGTTTGCTATGAGTGAGTTTTCTGCTGCTATTACTATTGGCGACTGTCAACGTAAGTAAATGTTAAAAATGCTATTCAATACTGGCAATCATAAATCCTTGTGTGCGTCGTCAAGACCGAGGTCGACTGAGGAACGAACTCCATGTTTGGGACATGAAACATAAGGACAGACAATTAGGAAGAGACTTGTGTTGTTGGGGGCCAGACATAGAGGACAAATGTGCCACTGTGGTGCCCATTATTATAGTTATTGTTATTATTAATATTACAGAGGAATGCTAACGACAGCCTAGCTTCATCTACGTACTATATTTTTTTCTTTGGTCAGTTTCTTACCACTTCTTGTTTGAAGTCGAGCCATGTTGGTCATTTCTTGTACACCACACACTCAAAGCGTTAACAACACATGGTAATTTTTTCCTTGCCATGTGTGATCAATTTACATATTAGAAGTGTGTTTGTGTGCGTGTCGTTGGCCTTGCTGCGTATTTGCAGTTTCATCATAACTTACTGCAGACTACTTCTGATTTGATTGTCTCAGCTGGCATTTGGCTATAAAGTGACACATGCTGCTTATGAGCGTAATTGCATGTGACACAAGAGCGTCACCATCTGTTTTTGGGCTAATTAAATCCTAATCGCAAGATCTAATTGGATAGGATCCTTTTTAAGACCTCCTTCATCTTCTCTGATGGATAGAACTCGTAATTTTTAAGGCCTTGTCTGTAGATATCAATATATAGCGCTATCTATTATATATTACCGGTATATAGCAGAGCCACAACAGGGAGGTAGCAGGCATCCACACTGTTGTGTTGAAACACTTAACAGCCACATGCTGTGCTTATTACTGTCAGAGGACCCACCAATGGCGCAAACAGACCCCGACAAATCGATAACCTAGTGCTGAATGCTTTGCCCTTTGACATTGGACCCCGCTACAGAAAATGATGCCTCTGCACCCTTCGCCACTTTAACAGCGGGAAACCTCATAAATGTGCTGCTGCTGCTGATCGTAAACAATTTCCTTGTTGCTGCATCAAAGTCATACGGAAGAAACGAAAAACAGACGCGCATCTTTAGCCTCGTGTCCCAGTATAACCACAGTCGGTGGTTATTTTTAACGAGACGGGGAAACAAATGACACATATGAGAATGAGTTTTATACATATTGATCGACATGGGGTCCCCCGGTTTACATCTGTCCTGCAGCAGCAATGTAAACTGAATTTGTACGCAAACCAGACTGAACAAAAAAAATGCTAATGCTAATCAGATGCTAACGACACTACTCGCTAATTTGTGCTAATATGGCAGCTCTTATGTGGAACTTTGGCCAGCCAAACTGCCAATTGGTGAAGAAACTCGACGTTGGTGTTCAATAGCCCCTTCCTCACATACACATTTAACACAATTCTGTAGGCGGACAACAAAAGTCTGACTTGATCCTTCAAGTTTATACTTGATGGGTGAGCATGCAATACCAACTATCGGCATACGGACGTTAAAAAGTACATATTCCATTTAAGCTTGGCGATTACCCAAAAACAAAGTTGAACTAGAAGTATGAACTTTATGTGAAATTCCTGCACCGATCAAGAACACACACACACACACACACACACACACACACACACACACACACACACACGACAGCTACAAAAACACAGGGGCTTTATTCTTATATTCACACGTTTTTCATCCAATAAATAATTACTGTAATTATGACTTCACTACTGTTAGTGATCGTCTGCAACCTGTTCTGACTTGTAGACAAATTCCACTTGCGTCGCCATCATAGAAACGTAACTCCATCGTAAACCAAATGTGTACTCGCATAAAACTTGAGTGCGGGAACAAGTCTGACCATGTAAGACAAACACATTTTTTTAAACAAACATAATGTAAGGCTTTATTTGATTTCAACAAAATACATGCAGTAGAAACCGCACAGTATAATGTGGACCCTTTTAAAGGGTCGTATATGAATCATACAAATATATCGCTCATACCGCGTTCTCGCTAATAATCATAAATATATAAAAAGTCACTTGTAAAATCCCCACAGTTCCAGAGAGAATAAATAGGTTTAAGGCCATCAACTTGTATTGCTGAGGCGGTTAAAGCTAGAATAAAAGGCAAATAAAAACATAATAAAAATGGGTCTATTAACATTTACCGATATTTGGTGTTGAAGCTGAATCTTTTGGGCGTAACAGTGTTCCCCCGCTTTGTCGCGTGTCGTTCATTGTTTGCATCCCCACTTTATCGTGGAATTTTAAGCAATCATTTCGATACACAGGCTACGTACCGCATTGTGTCACAGCACTGAGGTCTACTGGGAGAGATGCAGCATATTTAAGAGCAAGAAGAAGAGGCAGAGAAGGTCCCCAAAGTAGTTCCAGTTAGAAATGTTGTTTCCAGAGTAGATATTGGCCCTTGGGGATTGTTGTTTGCATGTGTGGTAGCTGTGTGCGTGCGTGTGTTAAAGTAGTTGTCGCTTGAAGGTTCATATTATCTATGCTAATTTCCATTCACCCATTTATTCCGTTCTCCTCATGTTAGCATGAAGCTAGCAGACTTTTGTTGTTTAAAATGTATGTGGTTTTGTTAAACACTTTGGTGTTTGCATACACAGTGGTGATACGACTTCCAGGTTTTTCAAAATACGAGCCGTTGATTGGACAATTTCTTTTTCTGCTGTTTATTGCCACTCTCAGCTGAAGATGACTGCCTAAGAAAACATGAAATAGAGATTTATACACATTGTGTATTCAAAATAACCACATAGCCTAAGCTAGCTTAATGCTAACATACAATGGGGAATGCTATAGGCATATAAGCTAACAATTAACATCTATGTGGACACAATGGGTGTGTAAGGAATGTTTTGGGGATCTCAAAATACTGTATTAAAAACTCTCTTTTGTGTAAAAAAAAAAAAAAAAAAAAAACCCCGCAAAAAACATTGTGCTTTTGTACATAATAACCGTAGTGAGAGAGAAATGGTCTTAGCCAGTCATTTTATTGTGATGTGTTCCTTTTGGCTCCGCAGTGCATAGTATCATGGTCTATGTAGTTTACAATGCTGTGTTTGGCTGAAGCGGGGGAAAAGTAATATTTTTTTTGGACAGGGATGTGTTGCTTTCAATATCGTCACCTGATGACGATATTGTGGCAATTTTAATGTCGCCGTTATCGTTACATCCCGAGTAGATACCAGAGTGAGCAGCACAATATGCATTGAAAGAGAAAATGTAATTTAAGTGTCATTATTGTTTTTAAAAGGACAATATAGAGTGCTATTTTTGGTTGGATTGGGTTTCTTTGGAGGTGGAACGGAGTAATGGCATTTCCATTCATTTGAATGGGAACAGAGTGTATTCTGTCATATATTTTGTGGCAATTTTACTGTAAACTTCAACTGGGAGGGAGCCTGAAGCAATCCCACTCTGCCTCTTATTTAGACAACTGTGCAAGCAACAAGTGCTAAGGAAAACATTTAAAGGTGTGTTTTTCATAAATTGAATGTGTTTGAAACCAAGAAGCGTTACGACTTTGTATTGTATATTTATATCATGGATTTTCACGTATTGTGGGTGGGTCTGCAACATATCCCCCGCAATAAATGCGGTTCTCTGTACGACTTAAGGCCCTTGTGAACACAAGGCACGTTTGGCTATCAATTGAGAGTCCAGTGCAAGCGTGTAGTAAACATGAGCTGGTGAGCGGGACATCATGTGAGCAGGCAGCTCATCTAAACCATTTTACGATCCTCACCATGGGGAGAATAAAAGATCTCCTTGTGCGGCTATAAACATGTTAAGTCAGTCCGGCATCATCAATGCATCCTCCTTAAAGTCAGTGATGATTCCATTCCTATGACAAGTGGTACATGCTGTAGCCCAGGGGAGCGGCATACAGTCCTAATGGCGAAAAGGGCATCATGGCTCTCTGGTGATACGCAGAGAAGGACTGTCCGTATAGAGACATGGTGCCCAGCGTCATTGGCAACCGGAGGCCGGGCTGAACCAGCCCCGCCGCCGTCGTCGTCGTGGATTTGGCTGTGGTGACCATCTTGAGTTTCTCCAGCTCGGCCTCCTGGAGCCTTTTGGCTTTGGCCCGGCGGTTCTGAAACCAAATCTTCACCTGGGTCTCCGTTAGGGTGAGGGAGGATGAGAACTCGGCCCGCTCTGCGATGGACAGGTACTGCTTCTGCCGGAACTTTCGCTCCAGAGCCAGAAGCTGAGACGTGGTGAAGGGCGTGCGCGGCTTGCGGTTGGTCTTGTGCTTCCTCAACTGGCAGGCGGGACTGATGTGACCTGGGTGAGGGAACCGATGGGTCAGCTGAGCCTCAACAGTCAAAATTGCAAAATTGAAAATCCCCTGCGAATAACGGGGCTCGACTATACAGCAAATTGTGGATGCACAGTACTCTCGGGTTTCAGTTAGCGTCAGACCAATGAAGATATTTTGACGCCAATTCTGATATTTAGCAGGAAAAAACGTAATTGGATTAAAGCAAATTTGGAAAGTGTTGTCACTACTAAGTAGGTCAAGTTGGTACATCAGATGGTCTGTCAAACCTTTACCAAAAATGATCAGAAATGCATTTCAGACTAACTAGGAGCCTACTCTGATAAAAAGTTCTGTTTGCATTGTCAAAGTTTCCTCAAATATGACTTAGTCCACCACAAACTAAACATGTAATGAGAAATTTAAAAATAACTGAAACTAGACAATACAATTTGCGTAAAAATTTGCATGTGAATTCTGAAGCGCTGACACTGAACTAAAATGTAGAATTAATTGACGACAATGCCGTGAGAGACTTGAATGTTTTTTTTTTTTTAACTGAAATGTAGAATTGTGGAGAAAGTAGAAATTCGGGGATTGTCGAAAATGGACACCAAGATTTCCTGAATGAGGTATGTTTAACTTGAAATAGTTAAAATCAGTTCAAAAATATGAAAGGAGGAAGTCAATACATAAAATCCGAGTGGGCATCTAAAGGCAATTTCACAATAATATAACATCAAGATCCAATATTCAATTTCAAATTGATGTCACGGTTGGGCTGTCTGCGTTCATTTGGGAATGGTGTCTTGGAAAATGTGGAGCAATGAAAAATGTGTAAAACTCACGAGGCTGAGAGGAGAGCAGCCAGTCTTCCGCCTCCGATACTTCGGACTTGACCGGCGACATGGGCGCTGCCGGGGAGCTCTTCCGGGCCTGGGCGGCCGCATCCCCGCACTTGTAAACGGAACCAAATCCCGCGGGCGGTGATCCGGCCTCCACCTCGCACCGACCGGGCTCCCCCACGCGGCTCGCCCACGTCGTCCTCCCGGACATGATCGCCTCCACGCTGAACGGATGGCGATGCCGCGGCGCTCCCGGAGGCGAAGAGGAGCTTTTCGTTTCCTCTTCGGACGAACTGTTGCCCAAATCCTTCGCGCTCTCCTGGGTAGTCATCTCCATTGTCCCCCTGAACAAGTCGGTCTGGCTCCGATGAGCTCCGCGTTGTGTTGATGCTGTCAAGTCAAGTCGCGTGTAGGCGTTTGTATGTACACGCGTCACGTTACGCCCACGCCTGGTTCTGACCAATCACGTTCCACCAGGATGTTGAGCGGCGCTGCCTTCTTGATTTGCTCGGCAAAGGCGGATGTTTTTTATTTTTTTATGAGCCCATGTAAATTCAACGACAGTATGATAATCACGATGTTTTGACCATTAACAGTGGAAGTACAACAAGCCAAATGTAGAGACACCATTTAAAATTGAGTTGATTTCAATTACATATATATGACTTTTGAAACTCGAGGATGCCATGAAAGCATCATAGGACCTCTGCAGTGAATTACACAGACAGAGCAGTGTTTACCTTTAAGGCACCAAAGCACACATTTTACACAAGGAAAGCAGAATGCCTCTCCCAAATTTAGTCAATGACCAAGGCCGGAGTGTCAAATCTGGAGCACTATGAAAGGCGGTGTCCACCCTGAACTAGTTGCGAGCCAATAGCAGGGCACACAACAGACGAATAACCATTTGCGCTCACAACCACACCTAGGGTCAATTTAGAGTGTTCCATTAACCTGCCATGCATTTTTGGGAATCTGGGAGGAAACCGGAGTACCCGAAACCTCACAGGCACGGGAATGATATGCGAAGTCCACACAGGAAGGCTGGAGCCGGAATCGAACCCGGTACCTCTGCACTGTGAGGCGGACAGGCTATCGAGCCATAGTCCCATGTAGGCATGTCATCTATTTCAATTTAAAACCTTTTTAAACACTTTGCCTTATTTTTTAGAGCATGATGGTTACGTAGCTGGCAACTTTAATTTATACGACACAAAAAGAGGAGACACATACAGGACCTACATTGTGCTCTGCCAGTGACCTGAAGAGCTGGATTTGTTTTAATACAGAACTGTAAATTATCACGGTGCAATGTAATAACTTATCACCTGACACGACAACTTGTCGCATAAAAAAAAAGTGCACTTTATCACATTAAAACATCATATTATAATGTATCATGTTAGCGTGATACTGATTATCTCATGAAATGAAATTCATCACATAATAACGTGATACTGAACTTAACATGTAGTAATGTGATACTGAACATAGATTTTTTTTTCAGGTGTGTCAGCAATACAGTTCCAACGTATTGCATCTTCATAGTATCTTCTTATGTTCACAATGAGTTCAAAGGGTATTTTAGATCTATCGCAATCTTGTTCTGCTCCAGTGATGGATTAGTTCAAACTCTAACCTCATGACACCGCATACGTAAACACAGGCCTCACGCAGCTAATTCTGGAGCATTGCACCCACGGATGCGCCACGCTCAAGCTTAGTGCCCCGGCTCGGCTCGACGCAAACCAGAAGAGACGTTCACATGCCTCTCTGCGGCTGGGCCATTCATCCGTTATGTCCTATGATTCAGCACTGTTAAATTCGAAGCGTCTCCTTGTGACTTCTATGAAGCAACTCATTGTGGCAATTTTAGGTTGTCAGATAAGCAATTCCTGACAACGAGAACTCCACACTTATTTCCACAGTTAATTTATTTGATGATTTGGGAAAGGGCTTTTTTTTTTTTTTAGCGTGAAAGGATGTTTTACTTAAACTGCGTTTCATTCCCACGGGCCACAGTTGTTTGTGTAATATTGCATGTGCTGCAGGATAGTGTTTTTTTTTTTTTCACACCCAGGGCAATTCTGTTCGGAACAATCAGTCCTCTTGCAGAATAATAATGAATACAAAAGAACCTTCCATTTATTTTTTTCCAACTTTAAAACAAATGTCCCCATTGTACTTATGAAATGGAGCATGAATTTAATTCAATCCAGGCTTATCAAACCGTAAAACTGTACATTGAAAGTTTCAAGTGCAGTGCTACCTTGATTGATTGTTTTATTTTTTTTTTTTCACATTGTGAGCTCTCATTTTGTTGTTTTGCGACGCGATCCAAGATGTCGGGCACAAGGCAGCTTCAAATACATCGCCGCTCAAGTGAAGTGGGGTAAAACAAAGAGAGCCACCGTTTCCGATGGGACTTTCAGCCATTGATTGAAGGGGACACAGTTAAACACACACAAAGAAAATGAGAACACTTGCAAGGAGTTGCTTTTAGCCGCCTTGATTTCAGATCCTGACTTTACTCACTGGTCCCAAAGGGCACAGCAGTAGGTTGTTTTTGTGACTTTGACTTGCCCCGTTCGAGTGGCTGCCTTTACAGCAGCTCCTGTATTTTGTTCTTCTACTTCTTCCTTTCATAACTTTGCTGCTGTGAATTGGGAATTTCTCCATTGTGAGACTAATAAAGGCTTTCTTATCTTACTGAAAATTGTTTTCTTCATGCCATTTGTCTAATTAAAAGATCAGCAACATTTTTAAAACTGAGAGCGACTTCTTGGGTACTGATAAATGTAACTTCACTCTGGGCATACACACTTCCGAAAGAACAAATTTGCTGACATTATTTGGTGGTTAAATGCTATGTTTGGTCATGCGCTACAATACTCAGCTTAAGCTGTTATTATTTAAAAAAAATAAAATGTTGTCTTTCCAAATCGAAACCAGCGCAAGTGTGATTGATAAGGGCCGCAACACACACAAAAAAAGTTGCATGCATTTGACCAGTGAGTTATTTTTAGACCAGGCTCTGCGACTAGTCATGTGGTTGCACCATGTCGGTGACACCTTGTCTAAATACATAATTTGAGTAATTTTTGAAAGAAAAAAAAAAACGCAACAAATTCAACAAACGCAGAGAGCCCAATTGCCTCAATTCAATTTTTGCAGACCTGGTAAAGGTAATCCTCAAAGACTGAAATAAGCCAACTGGAGTCCTGTTTGTTGTTGTTTTTTGTTTTTGTTTTTTTTTTGTTGTTTTTTTTTGTGGTTTTAAACAAACATTCAAAAATCACTCATGTTATTACACTCCCAATATGTAGCTTGGCTAAATAACGCTTATGAAAGCGCTTTAAATGCAGACTGAGTTATCGTCCCTCCCAGCTTTTAAACTGCGGCACACTTGATGTTTTGAGAAGACTCCAAATTGTCACACTTTTCCCACATTTTGCTTCCGAGCTGTATCACAAGGTCCAATAAGCATCAGTGTGCGAATTCTCCAATTGTAGCCTTGTTTTCATTGACTCGTCCGCGTTGGGAAGCGGCGGGAGACTGCGTTCTTAAAGCGGGGCGATTTCACAGACAATCAGGGGTTTGTGAAGGCGCCAGTGAGCGGCCAGATGAAAAGATCAACTCCTCAGGGGAGAAACTGTTGCCTTCCTCCACCCCACCCCACCCGCCCGTCCTTCAACTGCTCTGCTTCTCTTTGCTTGTGCCTGAACGCCCCACAGGCACCTTGTCATTCATGATTCACGTAACATGTTCTTGGCTGAGTGTCAGTGGCGTGTTTCTCCACCTCGGTTCGTGTTCATCTAATTACACTTTTTTTTTTTTTTTCACACTGGCACTTGGATGTCTTTTAGTGGTGTTACTAGATATATTGTATGTCCCCAAGAGCACAGGCAGTTTCCAAAATATACAGCAGCAGAAATTTGCTATTAAAACTCATTCAGTACCAGCCAATTCTAGACCAAGTCTGAAAAGATGTTTAAAAACGTCTTTGGCAGTGAATGAGTTAGATGAGAAGATGTGTTTGATGTTTTTTTTTTTTTTTTTTGTGGTGCTCTACTTTTCTCGATGAATCAAAACTGACCTTTTGGGAAACTTCCATTCAAGGTAAAGATTTGACAAAAAGCGTTCGATCAATGCGATCACTTTACTATAACTATGAAAAATGGGATTGTAGTGAACAAAACCACAATAAGATGATTTTAAATAGTCTTCTCTTAAATTGCGCAAATGTCAAGAAAACAAGCAGGTTACAAAGAACAGAAATCATTTCTGTCCTTGCGCAGAAATCTCTTTTTTTTTTTTTTGTATGAAACAAAAGAGGAACCAATTCATTAACTTCAGGAGCAAAACGAATCATTGCACCACTGGGTACGAAATACCAATAAGAATATTACACTTAGAAGCCAATTTTATTATCTCATAGTCTGACACCAAAATCTAACGCCATCAGAATAGCAACATAATTTTTTATTCACTTGGTTTTAGACAAGGTCCATGTTAAAGGACACCCAAGCAAAAACAAGTGATAAAGCGATTGAACATGAAACGATCAAATGATAGGGAACGTCCAGAATGTCGAAAAATTACCCGCACATCCCGCTTCCTTTCCTCCATAATGTCACTTAAGCCGCGATAATAGCGAAAGCAATTTGTCTGAACATGTTTGTGTGTTCGAGCGGGACGGAGATGCCTGGGAAGCTTCTGTGTGAGTCGGGCACACCTCGGAGCTTTGTACTGTAATTACAGCGGAGGCTTTGAAGTGGTGGAATGTTCGGTCGGGATAATCAGCAGCCTGTGCCGCGCTTGCACACTATTTACATTTCCATTAGGACGCCCGTTGGTGTCACCACTCCGGCGATGTCTACACGTAGGTTGGATGGTCGGGGAGGGCGGTCAAACACTCCAGTGGTGCCTGGAGATAGGAGCCATCGTTTGGACAACAGAAAATAGTGTCCAATCCACTCAAAAATGCCAGTAAAATAGCACTGTGACGTGTTACCGACTCAACGCTGCTCGCTTGGTCATCGCTAAACAGACTTTAAAGTAGACGAGAGCAGGCTAAAATGCTGTCAATGTGGCGGTCATGGCTTATGAACGTGACCTGATGCATGCCATTACTCTCCCTCCCAAACTCGACAAATGCAAGAAGATAAAATACAAAACCATGGACAAAAAAAACATTCATGTGACGATGATCTCATGGCCCGGCCGGCCTCAGAGCAGTTCTTACTAAGCGACGCCTTTCTTGTTGTGCTTGGTACACATTTATTTGTCAGTATCTCAGCATGCAAAAGCAATCCAGAGGTTGCATTCTGTAATTATTATTGTGCCTCATGCTTTAGCTGTGGGTTGGTTGCCCCTTTATGATGTTGACAACAGTCATGGTGGTCCACTGAATGGTAATGGTTGTAATTGCTCATCCGACCCATTTCTAACATTTTCACATTTTGTTCCCATCTCATTTCATTTGATGCAGACTTAGATTTTTTTTTGTAGCCTTTGTTGTTGTGACTATTGCAAAAACAAACTCATTTTTGTTTTTGGTGTATATTAGACATGTCACTGCCACCCACATGACAAATGGAGGTTATACATGTTAGGTGAATGAGTCCAGAAACAGTGTCT